CAGCACTGATGGGCACTGATAGGCGGCACTGATGAGGTGGCACTGATGGGAATTGATGAGGAGGCACCGATGATGCTGCACTGATATGCAACACTGGTGGGCACTGCTAGGCGACACTGACTGGCGACACTGCTGGGCGGCAATGCTGGGCACTGATGGGCGGCACGGATGGGCAGCACTGATGGGTGCCACTAATGGGCACTGATGGGTGTCACTGCTGGGCACTGATGGGCGCCACTGCTGGGCACTTATGGGGCTGCACTGATTATCAGTGCAGATGTCCTCTGTGACACTAACGGTTATCAGCAGTACTGTGACAGCGTGGACGAAAGTGCTGCCGATAACCGGCAACTGTATTTACTTTGTGATCAGCTGTGTAATTGGAAGGCTGCTGTGATTGGCCTTTTACCAATCACAGCAGGACACAGTGATCACAGACAGCGGCGGGTGCGTGCCGCTGGGTGCTCGCAGGGAGTGGCACTTTCTGGGGAGGACATCATATGGCGCCCTCCCAGAACTGGACAACTTGTCAAATGGTTAAGATAGCAAAATTCAGGTGTTAGCTAACAGCAGGATAAGCAATTATGGAAGAACAAGTTGCGAAATCTAGAGATCAGGAGGTCTTAGGAGGAGTGAAGAGGAAAGTTACTGAAATTGTCTTTTAATTTAGGGCTGACCACTCTCCTCTTTCAGATTGCTTAGCTAAGCATGCGACTGCCCGGTGCTGGTTCTTTACTGCTTCAGGAGTGTAGGGATTTTTTGAGCTCAGTGGTGATGTGGGTGGGAACATAGGGCAATGGTATTGTTTCATAGCCATGGTGTGAGTAAAGTGGACATTACGCTGGGGGGTAGCTCAAGCACCAGCATCCCACCCCTACTTATAATCTTATGAGAAATGCATTAAAGCACACTGACCATGTAATACTTCTTCACTGCCCACACCCACCCAACTATGTTATTCTCAAAAAGAGCACTGCCTCCTATTAGGACTTCCACAAAATGGTCATTTGACTTCATAATTGCAGACATTTTTGCATAAACTGGTGTGTTTAGGAAACACTGTTTTAATTAGATTCCCCATATGGGGAGTAGTTGTGGTTCAAACAGAAGCCAAAATGGCTTTTACATTCTTAGCAATGTCAGAGGCAAGAACTTGCTTGGAATTGTGGCAGGGTTCCATAGCAGGAGTTACACAAACAGCAGTCAAGGTAAGCAACTTTAAGAGATCATGATAAACAGGGTCAGCAACCTTATCAATCCAAGACAGCTAACAAAAGTAGAATCCACAAGCCAACTGTACACTAGAACTATCAACAGAGTGTATATTATGATGGCCTTTTAAGGGGCAAAACAGGAAGCACACCAAAAACTACAGCACTGGTTTGCATGGCCCTTGTGTTTGGGGCCACTTCATCCTGCACATGTGGGTACCTTTCGCCATGTGCGCAGTCACCAATGCCCAAAGAAAGCAGAGACCTCATTCATGTGAAAGTGAAACATCCTGGTGGTTCCCTGGTATAGGATGAGCTGTGCACTGTGTGTATTAGTGTGAGATGTAGAGTTCCTCTGTAAAACTGTCTGTACTGTGTCCCTTCTCCATTGTATGTTGCATTTAGGAGGGACACTGCTGAGCTTGTGCCCTCTCCACTCATTCAGCACACCTCTGTCACCTCATTCCCAGTGACATAATGGGGTCTCACTGTGCATATACAGTACTGTGGACTTTTTGAATGCACTCCAGTAACTCCTTCTTTTTGTATTATGCAGTGAGGCTGCTGTCTCCATAACACGCTTTTGGCTCTGATTGCTCTGGGAAACTAGCCGCTAGGGAGGGAGTCAGCATACCGACCTCTCATGACCGTAGGACATCTCACTCCAGCTGGAAAACACACTTTAGACCAGGCTGCCATTCACCTACCATCAGTTTTTGGTTACACTTGGTCACTTCTACTTTCTTCACACCTCATGCCAAGTTAACCCTTTGTCGTGGACTTGCTTCATACCCCGCATGTGCTATACTAGCCAAAGTTCTTTTATACTCCAAGAACCATCAAGCACCCTTTTAGAATAACTGCAGACCAGGCTCAGAACAGTTGTTGCAACTTTACTGACAGTTCTGTGACATAGTCCAACATGAACAGTGTAGTGCAATGTTCCCTGTATAACTCAACTAGGTTGCCCAGTGCGAGTCCATTGTTGGCTTTTTCCAAGACTTGGCGGTTCTCCAATCTTCCAATGCCTTCTGGTGGACTGTAGGCCATACCAGTCCCCCCTTTGGAGTTTCACAGCCTTTATGGCATCTTCTGGACTGGGGCAGTGCTTCAGAACCTGGCCTTCCCCCATATATATGTAGCAGAAATGCCACAGGGGCCGCTTCATAATGCTTATCCCCAGTGGTTGCCCTGACCTTGAAAGCCTCCCAACACCTCTGACCCTCTGGGTTCAGACATATTTCAGTACTTTATCAACAGTATAGGATAATAATGCAAGAGACACAATTCTTTAGTAACACCTCTATGTTGGTCTTGTTCAAAATAGTAGATCGCAAAACAAATGGGTTTAGGGTATACAACTCCAGTTAACGCATAAACATAGAACACTGGTAAAATAGGAATAATCAATTAGCAATGTTTAAGAAATTATACAGTCATCAGTAAATAAGATTCATTAGTAAGATTCAACACCAGCAGTAAGAGGGGGAAGAAAAGGCTTGATTTATCAGCTCTCTCTAGGCCACCAATGTGACAATGGTGGATGCAGAGAATTATTTAAATATATCCTCCAGAATAATAGATATAAGTACCCTCATTTGAATAACAATGGCCTAAGAGAAGAGGTCTCTTTAACTAGAGTTTGCAACTTGAGTCCTGTTATATTTACAGTTCCTGATATGGTGGTGTCAGTTGTCATCTGCTAGCAATCGTGGGACCCATAAACAGTAGTGAATAATGGTAATTCCATTAAGTTAAACAGATAGGCTGTGGTACTGCTCAAAGCAAATATCTCCTGATACTGAGGTATAAAGGTGTCTGCATTCAGTGTCTCTAGAGTGATGACAGAAAGAGGTTTGGCATCCACACGCTCACCAATCCCATGGATGTCATGCTCATGTCTCCTAGGAACAGGAGCTCTTGCACAAGCTCTTGGCTGTTTGCAGGGATGCACAGAGTTGCCACCTGATGGCCTGTTAGCACAGTGAACAGAGATGTCTGTGTTAAGTCCAGATAGTGACAGTCCCGAGGCAGAAAAGCTGATGCAATCCTAGTGTGGTGATCAGTGTCACCGCAGCAGTAGGCCAACAATCTTTCTCTGGAGGAGAACGGCAGTCCCTTTGTGCTCAGCTGTGAATCCCTTGCCCAAAAGAGCGAGCCAGTGCCTTGCTGTAGAATATATCTGCTCTCCCAACAGTCCTTTCCTTTGCCAGCTCTCTGGTAGTAAAAGTTCAATCAGCACTCAGGAATACATATGTATTGGTTATAGAACTACAGGTCCCAAGCAGGGGCGGACTAACCATTCGGAAACTCAGGCACTGTCCGAGGGCCCGGGGTCCGTAAAGGGTCCCATGAGATGCCCCTGGTACCTTTCATAGGCTTTTTTGGGTGTGGTTTGAGTGTGGGCGAGGACACAGGGGCCCCATGATCCCCTATTGTCCGGGGGCACCATGAGTTGTCAGTCCGCCCCTGGTCCCAAGATCCTCTTCTGTCAGAAGAACTGGATCCATTCTTCTAACAGGAAGTGATGTAGCAGTTCCAATCCTGGGCACTGGGGGGAAAAAGGATTAATCATAGTCTCATCTGTAAATGTCCCTCATCTGTAAAAAGTCATAATAATATAGCCGGCACCTGGCTATAAATATACAGGTATATATGATAGATAGATAGATAAATAGATAGATAGATAGATAGATAGATAGATAGATAGATAGATAGATAGTTTGATCACAGGATGAGTTGACTAGGTCCAAAAAGCCTGGGAACAGAGGCACAGACCATTCCCCGGCCTTGGCTAGCCAACTGCCTAAAAAACATATTCTAGGCAAGCTGCCTACACCCTGTTACCTCACATGTTCCATTCACCTGACAGCATAAATATAGGAAATGTTAATGTACCACAACTTAGCAAGGAAGTCTGGAACCCAAGATAGCCCACAACAAAGAAGGCCAGAGCAGCAGGTTAGCAGGAGGCATCAGGAGAAATTGTGGAAGGAGCAGAAAAAGAAAACCAGACCCCAACTGGCCTCCTCATGACAATGCAGTAGGTAACTACCCACCAGAATGTATATCCTTAACAGTGCATTATATTTTTTCTCCAGAAATGCAAGTTTATATATATGATTTACTAAAGCAGGGCTTTTTTTTTTTGCACTGAACTATGTACACCTCAATTCTCTTTTAGGTTCAGGGAAATTAAAAATAAAAATTCTTGTTTTCTTTATCTGAACTTTTCTTTGTGAGTTTATGGAGTAGTTAAGTAAAGAGGCATTTCCCAAAATATGTCATATAATAGTTCATGGAAATAGACTGTGCCAGAAAAGGAGCCTGACACAAGGCTGAGACACACGGATTTACAGACACTCGCATTTGGCGGTGTTTCAGAACATCCTCCATACGCAGATGATGAATCTGTTCTACCTTGAGGTCTATGGAATTTCTTCACACAATAAATATGAAGAGGGAGTACGGAACCGCTACATGTGAACATTCAGATCTTCAAATAAATATTATTCCGATTTGAAATTAGACTTTGTTTTTAATTATTTATAACATGATTATAATCCAAAAAGTGAACTGTACATTATCACAAAATTAAATCCTGATTTTTTTTAAAATGAAACATATCCAAATATGTTAAAAAATTATTTTAAATCTTACAAAGGTAGAAACTCATATTTTTTAAATTTTCAGTTAAATGTAGAGAATAGTTGTATTTGTATTGCAGTTGATGGTAGAAAGGTAGCAGCCTAAAGCTGATCTCCAGGCAGACATCTAAATACACACATGAAATAAATGTATGAGAGTTGTATTACCTGCTAAAGTATATGTATTTCTTTCTATGCAGTACTGATATGTACACAGCTGTCCTTTCACTGACCTGGTATTGGAGGGGCCCTGATCTTTCTCTGCTGCAGTTTCACTTTCACTTACAGGTCTCCTTTCCACCCCAACCTGTGACTGGACAGTGGAAGAATAAGTAGCACACAGATAATCCCATTTCTATGTCATTCTGCTCTCTTTTCCTATTAGCATGCACAATGCATTGTAGCATATTTGATCGAGCTCAATTCAAGCTCCTTGTGCTGCTTCTCCCTCTCTGTATTAGTAATTACAGAGCTGTATTACTGTGTTCCCTTTATATCTGAATGAAGTCCCACTTTCAATGGAAAGTATATTATATGTTTTATAGAGCACAGTCTGCTTAACCACTTCAGTATTGGACACTTTTACCCCCTTCCTGCCCTGGCCAATTTTCAGCTTTCAGTGCTGGCACACTCTGAATTACAATTGTGCAGCAGTGCAACTCAAATTAAATTTTTTATCGTATTGTTCACACAAATAGAGTTTTCTTTTGGTGGTATTTGATCACCACCTTTTTTTTATTACTTGCTAAATAAATGAAAATATACCGAAAATTTTTGGGGAAAAACACGTTTTTCTTCATTTCTGTTATACAATTTTGCAAACAAATAATTTTACTTCATAAATTTAGACCAAACTGTATTCTGCTATAATTCTGTGGTAAAAATAACCCAAATCAGTGTATATTATTTAGTCTAAAAGAAAGGTAGAGAGTCTACAAACTATGGGATATACAGTGCACAACATAAATGAGTACACCTCTTTTGAAAAGTAAGATTTTAATCAATATCTCAATGAACACAAGAACAATTTCCAAAATTATGACAAAACAGAGTTTTATAGAACATTTGTTTAGCTCATTACATGCAAGTAATGTTAATAATATAACTTAGTTTACAAAATCTTCAGTTTTACTCAAATTAGTTGATGCAAAAATAAATACACCCCACAACAGAAAGTACTACATCTAGTATTTTTATGACCTCCATGATTTGTAAGGACAGCACCAAGTCTTCTAGGCATGGAATGAACAAGTTGGCGACATATTTCAACATCTATCTTTTTTCATTGTTCAAGAATGACCTCTTTTACAGCCTGGATGCTGGATAGAGAGTGATGCTCAACTTGTCTCTTCAGAATTCCCCATAGGTGTTCGATTGGATTCAGATTAGGAGACATTCTTGGCCACTGAATCTTTCACCCTGTTCTTCTGTGTTTTGGGTCATGGTCATGTTGCAAAAGTGCACAACAACCAAAGCCACAGGGTGATGGTAGCATCTTCTCTTTCAATATAGAGCAGTACATTTGTGAATTCATGATACCATCAATGAAATGCAGCTCCCCAACATCAGCAGCACTCATGCAGCACCACAGAAGGACACTGCCACCACCATGTTTCACTGTAGGAACTATGCATTTTTCTTTGTACTCCTCACCTTTGTAACACCATACAGTTTTGAAGCCATCAGTTCCAAAAACATTTATCTTGGTCTCATCACTCCAAAGTACAGAGTCCCAGTAGTCTTCTTCTTTTTCAGCTCGTGCCCTGGGAAATTCTAGGTTGGCTTTTTTGTGCATAGGCTTTAGGAGAGTCTTCCTTCGTGGACAACACCTATGCATGCCATTCCTTTGTAGTGTCCACCGTATCGTGTCACAGGAAACAATCTCCCCAGTTTGGCTTTCTATTTCTTTAGCTAACTGCAGTGAAATTGCATAGCGATTTTCGTCAATCCTTCTCATCAGAAGACGCTCCTGTCAAGGTGTTAACTTCCGTGAATGGCTTTCACGTGAGATGGTTGCAGTTCCATCTTTGTTACATTTTTGTATCACTTTTGCTACAGACTGATAAGTAAAGCTTTGCCGGTCTTGTATCCTTCACCTTTCTTGTGTAAAGAAATTATTTTCTTTCTCAGGCCTTGTGACATTTCTCTTCCATGTGCTGCCATTGCTGACAGCAAGAAATAGGAAGGTGTTTTTTGTTAAGTTAAACCCTTTTAAAATCAACTGTCTGCTGGATACCTGTTTAATGAATAATTAGACTCACCTGTAGTTGAGTTCTTGTTAATTAGGATTTTGTTGTCTAAAATTTAGCTTTGCTCTTAAGACTTTAATTGGGATCTATTCATTTTTACAACATGGTCTTGAATGAATGTGTTAGGGCTCGTTCACACTTGGCTGTTTTGCCAACGCTTGCCAAACGCCCCTATAGCGTTTGGCAAGCGTTGGTCCGGCGTTTGCAGAGCGTTTTTTAACGCTCGGCAAACGCTCCACAAACGCCGCAGGCGCGGTTTAGCGGCGGTTGCTAGGCGTTTGCCGAGCGTTAATAACGCCCCAGAAACGCCTATAATGCAGTTTGAGTGGTGTTACCGCTCCGCAAACGCCCCACAACCGCACCGCAAACGCCGGCCGGGCGTTTGCGGAGCGGCACCATAGACGAGAATAGGAGGCTTCAAAGCCTCCTGACTCGACCAGAGGCGTCCATTTTGCCGCGACGCAACGCGACGCGATGCAAACGCTCCCGTTAGAACAGCACCATGTGCTGTAATGTGCAGAATTGGCAGAGGCGTTTGGGAAGCGGTAAAAACGCCTCCCAAACGCCTCTCTGCCGCCTGCACACAAGGCTAGTGTGAACGTAGCCTTAGGAAAAATACTTAATTGTGCGTGCAAATGAACAAATCTCCTTTGCAATCAATAGCCTGAATTTGTGGGAGTATTTTATAGTATGGTGTCCCTTAGAAAATGTTGATTCTGAAAGGAAAGGTTTTCTGACAAACCTTTTGGAGTGTACTCATTTATGCTGAGCACAGTGTATTTGAAAATCAGTCCTAATGTACTGATGGCTTCTCATTTCTTGAGGCACGAAAATGCCAGGACAGTACAAAAATCTCCCTAATGACCCCTTTTTGGAAAGTAGACAGCCCAAGGTATTTTGTAAGAGGCATGGCAAATTTTTTGAAGTTGTAATTTTTTGTCACAATTTTTTGGAAAATGAAAATGAAAAAAAAAAATTCAGTTCTTTTTTTTTAACATACTGTCACCAGTGCAGTACAGTGTCATCATATAACTGGCGTGGCATGGATCAAGGACACTGACCAGTGACAGCATGTAAAAAAAAATAAATAATAATAATATTTTTTCAATTTTTTGTTGTTTTTCTTAAATTTTTTTACATACTGTGACCAGGGCAGTACAGTGTTACCATAGTAACACTGTACTACTCTGAGGAGGTGATCAGGTTTTTTTTTTTTTAAACACGTTATGTTCACTTATAACAATGACTGTTAAAAGCAACCATTTGTTGTGATTGAGTATTGATAGCTGGCCATAGTTAATCTGATTATTGGCCCTGTGTGTACTATGTGATCACTCTGAAATATCACACTGAGAAACACAATAGTATACAATGAATGGCTATGAATGGAAGCCATCCATTGTATACAATTGTCATGTGATTTGCTGAGATTGGACACAGCAATCACATGGTATGGGCAGTGAACCGGTGCACTGACCTGTCTTCTGCTGTGTCCGATGGACACAGTCGGTGTCAGATAGTGCTGCAGCACAGCCCATGGGGCACACGCGAGGCACGTTCTTGGGAGGACTTCATATGATGTTCACTCAGAACAAGAGAGCTCCTGCTCGACCATCACATTACAATAGGCCAGGCGGGAAGCAGTTGAGGTAATATTTACATGCTTGTTTTTCCAATTTTGCATTTGTATTGAAGAAAATGATTTTGAAGTTGAAGTTAGCCAGCAGAGGGAGCACGTATTTTCCTTCATACTGCCTCCTGGTCTTAAAGCATAAGTTCACTTAAGAAAAAAAAATGTACTTTTGAGGGTAAAAAAATGTGCAATTGCCATTGTTTTTTCTTAGGATCCTGCAGAGCATGGCACCCATGATCAGCAGATCAATGTCAGGAACCTGCAGGCTCTTAGTACAGCTGTCTGTTCACACCTTCCATAACAGTAGGCAGTTACTGAAGAGCAGAAAGAATTAAAGAACTACAAACTGCAAAGGAGCTCACAAGAGGTGGCAGATGGGACTTGTAGTTCATTCATCCACAGAACTCTGTGAATAAAAGACACAGCTGTGTGCAGGGAGAGGTTCCCCTACCTGCTGTCATAATTTCAAAGGTCCTAATAATATCTAATGATCCTGCTATGGGAAGTCCTTGTTCAGGCATTTGCTGTTATAAGGTATCAATGCTCTGTCCCTGTCTCGTAACTGCTCTTCTTGTCACATGCACATCAAATGGAGATTATAAGTGGCCATGCCTACACTCATGGCACAGACATGTTCCGCTGCTGTCAAGAAAATGGGCCTTACTATGGGGCTACTGAATATATACAGTAAGTATAGGAAGACATCACCTCATATATTTTCAATATACTGCATATTATTGCTTTTACTTCAGATATCTTACAATGACCGGTGGACATGTTAAACTGCTTAGTTAGCCTTCTAAAGAGAAATTCCAGAGTAACTAGAAACGTATACTTGTTTTATGCAAAAATCCATCTATGCAGTAACAGAAAATAATTCTTTCCTTCATCTCCTTTTGACCAGAACAAAGAGCAATCATTTCTGATTTCTTGCAACGCCACCTTCTGGTGAAATCTGGCGGAGTAGCTATGGACCATAAAATGGTCACACTGCAAAATAATATGTGAACCTCCAGTCTTCACAGAGGCCTACAGTTTGATAAGAAATATCTAGGCTGCTATTGCTGACCCCCTACTGAAATTACTATTTTCCTAACTACCTTGGGTTCCAAAACCTTTACTACTGACCTGGAACAAGGAAGCAGCAGCTGAAATCAGAATTAACACCAAGTAATATCAGAACTTCTGAACCACATAATTTTTCTGTGTCATTGACTCACTAAAGGTATTGGATTAGCATGATGGTCAGCTAATGTCACATTGTTTACACAAAGGAGCTGTGAAAGGTTGGAAAACCTTGCACCTTTTTTACAGAGAGTGGCACTACACTTACAGCTGAATTTCAGTCAACAATAAAAAAAAGATGAAATTAAAATAGGGTGCCCCCACCAATTGTTTTGCTCGTTTAGTCTAGGGGGTGTAAAGCACAGCACTACTTAACCTATTTATTGCTCCCTTCCAGAATGGAGGAATGGACCCACAAAGCCATTTCTATTCTGCTGGTCATGCTGCCTTCCTGGATGGATAAATGTTCCCACAAAGCCATTTCAGTTCTCCCGGTCATGTTGCCTTCCAGGATAAATTAATGGTTCCACGAAGCCATTTCAGTTCTCCTGGTCATGCTGCCTTCCAGGATTACCCTGTATAATAATAATAATAGTAATAATAAATAAATGGTCCTACAAAGCCATTTCTATTCTGCTGGTCATGCTGCCTTCCTGGATGGATAAATGTTCCCACAAAGCCATTTCAGTTCTCCCGGTCATGTTGCCTTCCAGGATAAATTAATGGTTCCACGAAGCCATTTCAGTTCTCCTGGTCATGCTGCCTTCCAGGATTACCCTGTATAATAATAATAATAGTAATAATAAATAAATGGTCCTACAAAGCCATTTCTATTTTTCTGGTCATGCTGCCTTCCCAGATGAATGAATACTTCCACAAAGCCATTACTATTCTCCTGGTCATGCTGACTTCCAAGATGGATGAGTGGTCTCACAAGGCCATTTCTATTCTCCTGGTCATGCTCACTTCCAAGATGGATGAATGATCCCACAAAGCCATTGCTATTCTATGGTCATGCTGCCTTCCAAGATGGACGAATGGTCCCACAAAGTAATTTTGTATTCTCTTTGTCATGCTGCCTCATGCAGCCAAAATTGCCAATATTACAAACATTATCATGTACAATTAAGGACCAACAGCCATAACTGATCCTGCATTGTATCTGATTATGTTGAAGTGCCCAGCCACATTAGGAGACTAATGTTCAAGCAAGGAAGATAGCTGTATCAGGAGGATTCCCCTGCCTTACAACCTCCTACAGTAAACAAGCAGTAATTTATTAATATCTGGTGGGGGGATACTAATTCCATTTTTATATAGCTGACCAGAGTTCAGCTTTAAATCATCTTTCAGTTGAGTCCTATATGGTATATCGTAAAGCACAACTGAAGAGTATTCCTTTCAAAATGCTTTGATGAATGTATCAACATTTTATCAAAATTAATAAAAAAAAAATTCTTAAGCAGCATTTTGCAATGATTCAGAAAAACAAATCTGTTCTGATATCTCTGTTATACACAGTAACCTGGGTGGCTTACCTCAAAGCTTGGTCAAACTTGTTTTTTATTATGGGTTAAGGATTTTGGCAAGACTTCTCATCTGTTATCAGATGACATTTTTCAAAGTTATCAGCTATTGATCTTTACAAGCACAGAATGTTGTTTCATCTTGTCTGGAGGATTCCAGG